TAAGCTTCATTTGTGCTATTGTCGGACAAACACGCGTTTCCCAATGTTAGATCCATGCCAGAGCGTGAAACAAAATCCACTGATTGATCACTACTGCCGAGGTGGCTGTCGTCATTGAGGTTGTCATGACTAACATTATGGTAACTGGATGGTATGCAAAAATCAGGCCTTGGTGCACACTGAGAAACTTGAGAGAGAGACTTGATAAACATTCGAGTATTGTTAAAAGGTTGATGACCGTATGGGTCAATAGAGTATGATGACAAATGTGGTCCTATACCAACATTATGAAATATAGAGTTTTGGTCTTTCAGCATATTGTCCTCTCCTTTGCAGCCATCGTGTGATAAATGTGGGGTGCGGTCACCCCGAAGAGTCATCTTGAGAAAATTTAACACACAAAACACATCTCAGGCAGACGAAATCCAGGTGAAAAATATCAAAAGTAGCGCGTACCAATCAGGTTTACTATTGGAGCGTAAAAACAAAACATTTTAGATGGCTACACACACTAGGAACAGTATTAGTCTTAAGCTAGACGACTATTTCACAATCTTTTCTTAAAAGATGGGTATCGCAGGATCTCAGCTTATTTTAACTATCACTGACGCAAAGCCAAACAAGACTTGTCAACGCCAGAAACGCAGTAGGTCTCAAATTAGACTCGGCTGACACAGTTCTAAAGCTCTCGGTGCTAAATGCAACATGTTATTAAAAACAAACAGGGAATAGTTTGTATTTCCTTAAAGATTTTCATCTTACCTAACCAGTCCCTGCCTCACTCGTATGGCGACCAACCAAGGCGATCAACTTATTGAAAGCTCCCGAGTGTTTGGATAGTGCCTGTGATAATAAAACCAACCCCAAATCAAAGAATAGATCCGGCAGGACCAGGTACACGTACGTTTCCCCACAAACCGAAGGAAAGATTACGCCGTTATTTCGAACGATGCAGCCACAAGGATACGTTAGTCAAATCTTTACAGTGCCCACTATTCGACACATCTA